CCGCACGTTCTTATCAGCTGTCGTTCATGAAATCCTGAGGTCTTGTCATACCAAGCACAAATTTATTACGTCGTACCATCCCCAGTCAAATGGCCTCACGGAGTGCCTTAACAGGACCCTAACCGATATGCTTGCCAAATACGTTGCGCCAGACCACCACGATTGGGACATTCATTTGCCGTATGTGACGTTCGCCTACAACTCATCTCGTCACAACACTGCCGAATATTCGCCCTTCTATCTACTATATGGCCGGGACCCAACTCTACCTTTAGACACGTTACTACCTGCGGCCACTGAATATGCTGGTGAAGCCATTGCCCGCGCCGACCACGCGCGCCAAGTCACCCGTAACCGTCTACAGGCTTCACAGGCGCGCCAACAACAGCTCTACAATTCTCACCATAGGGACGTGCACTTTTATCCGGGTTCTCGCGTGCTCCTCTGGTCACCTACTCGGCGTGTGGGACTGTCTGAAAAACTGTTGTCGCCCTACACTGGACCATTCCGTATCGTTCGCCAAGTGACAGATGTCACGTACGAGATTATTCCAACTGATCCAACAAAGTCATCGTCAGCTCCGAGCGACATTGTTCACGTGGCTTGGCTAAAGCCCTATTACCCCCCTTCGACATCATCTGCGTAAATTTAGCACCGGGATGGTGCTTCTACCGCCGGTGGTTATGATACAAAACAGCCGCTAAACACGGCTGCATGAAAGAGGAGGACGAAGTGGGTTTTTCCGTTGGATGCTGGTCTGGCGCCATCTTACTCGTCGAGTTCTGTGCGCTGTAAATAGATCATTAAACAAGTTACTCGTAACATTATTTTAAATCTCCAGAAGGAGAGATGGGGGTACTTGCTCAGGATTTTACGATAGTCCCAATGAAAGTGGAGTGGTGTAGGCACGAGCGCGTATATCACATAGTAGAAAGCCACTTTGAACTTCTTTTTTGTTTTAGCATATTTTTTCGGCAACCATGTCTGAAGCATTCTTTGTAAAAGTAGGAGGACGCAGTTTAAATGGGCCGCACAAAAAAATTACAAATGCAGTGAAGTATGGTCAATGTAACCAATGGATGGTCATATGATTGTTATAGGCAAGTTTGTATTTCATTCGGAGCTGATTGAAGTTGTGCAATTATTTCTACCCAATGAGGGGACTCGTGTAATTGCATTTGAACTTTGCTGGGAACAAACAGTATCTCTCGTGTATTCTTCAATCCGAAGAGTTGCCAAGAAAAAGCACGGAGGCTAAGAGAGATTGAATTTTCAGAACGATAGAACGTAAAAGATCAAGACTGAGCGTGAAAATCTGGGCTTGTTTGACAAAAAAATATGGATATGTGTCTAAGTGGGCAGTTAATGTTTGGCAGGGTATGTGTATATGTGATGACATACGAAGGTAGTGAGCTTAGAATACAGGAAGTCACGCTAGAGATAACAGATAAATACAAATATTTGGATGTATGGATAAGCAGTGGGACCGAGTACTCAAGGGAACACGAAATATACGTGACGACTAAAGGTAACAGGAATGCAGCAGTGATGAAAAATAGGGCACTGTGGAATTACAATAGGTATGATGTTGTGAGAGGGATATGGAAAGGGGCCATGGTTCCTGGGCTGACGTTCGGCAATGTGGTCTTGTGCATGAGGTCAAAAGTTCAAGCAAGATGAGAAATTAAGCAACGTGGAATAGGTAGCTTGCTTTAGGAGCTCACGGGAATACACCAAATCAGGGAGTACAAGGTGATATGGGATGGACATCATTTGAGGGCAGGGAAGCTAGCAGCAAGATAAAATTTGAGAAGCGATTGAGAGAAATTGGGGAGGAGCGTTGGGCTAGGAAGGTTTTCAGCTACTTGTACATGAAGAATGTCGACACAAAATGGAGGAAGCGAACCAGGAAATTGACTGGTAAATACTTAGAAAACAGCAGGTGGCCAAACCAAAAAGAACTATCGGTTAAGAAGAAAGTGAAGGAAACGGAGACTGACATGTGGAGAATGGGCATGATTAAGAAGTCCGCACTAGAGATCTATCGAACTTTTAAGCAGGAAATTGCCAAAGAAAGGATCTATGATAATACTCTGGGTAGTTCTCTACTATTTGAGGCCAGGACGGAAGTATTGAGAACCAAGACATATCGGGCCAAATACGAAGGCGTAAATTTGATTGATATGTGAGCTTTAACGTCCCAAAACCCGAGAGACGCCGTAGTGGAGGGCTCCGGAAATTTCGACTACCTGGGGTTCTTTAACGTGCACCCAAATCTGAGCACACTGGCCTACTCCATTTCCGCCTCCATCGGAAATGCAGCCGCCGCAGCCGGGATTCGTACCCGCGACCTGCGGGTCAGCAGCCGAGTACCTTAGCCACTAGACCACCGCGGTGGGGCTACGAAGGGGTAGACACAGTATGCAGTGCGTATGGAGAGGAAGAAGGAACTGCTGAACACTTGATAATGTTCTGTAAAGGGCTTCACCCTATAGCTCAGGATGATGGCGCAGAGTTTTTCAAAGCACTGGGGTTTAGGGACAGCACGGATATGAGGGACAGGGCGGGCAAAATAGACATTAAGCGGGTACTTAACTAGAAGGAGGTTATCTGATTGGTGGCTAAAGTCAAGGCACGAGTGAAAATTAAACCCTTCACTGCAAAGTACTCATCTAGCTTTAATTTAAAGGAAAAAAAAAAGATATCTATTGTAGTTAGTTCACCAAGTATTACGGCTAGGTGGCGTTAGCCGACGCCCAATCTAAAGGGTACAGCCACATACATCCATACATCCATCCATCCAGCAAGGGTTCTGGTAGTTCTGGAATGTAATGTCGCGCCATGGATTCTAGCTCACTTTACCACGGAGGAAGGAAAGGTTCCTTCCTCCGCGTGTCGCGCCCAGGAACCATGACCCCTTTCCATATTCCTCTCACATCATACCTATTGTAATTCCACAGTGGCCTATTTTTCATCACTGCTGCATTCCTGTTACCTTTAGTCGTCAGGTATATTTCGTGTTTCCTTGGGTACTCGTTCCCAATGCTTATCCATACGCCCAGATATTTGTTGGACCCAAGGAGGTTATACTAAAACTTCTGGAGTGGCGGAGGGGCTCCGTGGCTGAAGCTTACCGCCGCCATATTGCCCAGGGCAGAAAGCGGATGGGCGCATTGTAGCGTACGTGGCTTTCGCGTTGTTCTAGTGCCAGTAATGTTGTGTGTGATGCCTCTAATTGAATAAGATGGTTTCGAACACGTCAGTGATGACTTTAAAAAACGACGATGGTGGGCTCTTGGGTAGCACTTGGCAGCGCGAATCATGCGAAACGGACACCGGGTACAACTTTTGATGTGCACGTAGGCACGCTTCACCCGCTCGCTTTTGCTCGCATATTTTCATGACAACGACTGCATTTGTGACTACATATACTTCCTTTTTACGTCCGGGTGCACAGAGATACTTGGAATAAATTTTTCGTACGTTTCAGGGTTCCGAAGACGTCGTAATGCGCGGCACATGAGAGTGCGCTGAGGGCAAAAGGTTAAGCACCGAAAAAAAAAAAATAATGACGAATTACGTTTAGTACACATGTTGAAACATGCTGCTTCGATGAGAGAAGGTACATAGCGAGACGACGGGCTTATAAAATCACTAGCGTGTTTGCATCGTTTCCATGCGCACTTACGAAAGCCAGTACGCGAGTGTGCCTAACAGAAGTGTGCACTTCGCTTTCGAAAGGTAGCTAATGTAGCACTGGCTCTGCATTTCCGGGATTTGGAGCTTCTTATATTTGCATAAGTACTACGCTCCCAGCCTCAAAATTTCTGATATGTTGCGGTATGCTTCTCTTTATGCAGGAGAAAAAGGAAACGAGCTCCAATGAAAATTCAGGGAAGTACGCTTTCGCCTAAAGCTCCTCTAATCGGTGGAGCTGTCAAAATCCCGCCACCCCTGAACTTCACCCACAAAAGATTGGTACAAGCAAAAAACAAAAAATAAAACAAAATTTGAAAAAAATCAAGAACAAGGTACAATTAACAGCTGAAAAAGAAGGGTACGACATCGTACGCAGCAGTACCAACCCAGACAACACTCGACGACCTGAGGTCGTCCTCATATGGTACAAACGTCCTCGGCAGTTTCAGGACGTCCTCATTTGGTCCTCTAGTCGACACTTGCAGGATTATCCCCAAAATGCCCCTTTGAGACCTTTTTAAGGACGAAGAATTGTCCTGATATCGTCTGCTCGAGGACGTTTTGAGGATATGCATGTTTCGTAGGTGCATGCAGCTTTCGCAATTCGTGTTTGGTTAATTTTCTGGCTGTTAACGAATAAGTCCACGGGATTTCGTATGCCTACTTTCGAGTCATAATAGTAAAGTACTTCTCGATCATTAAAATGAGATAGTTACACGAGGAAGCACTTCAAGCCAACACGAGAAAGACGTGTTCTTTTATTTATTATTTATTTATTTACTTTGTAAGTGATCGTAGGCCAAACTTTCTGCCTGCACGTTTTCGTTGGTCGTGATCTACCGCCGACGTGCATACGGAATTATATCGCACTGACTGTGGTCTGACCCGTTTCCCCAATGAACGCACGTGCGGCAGACCAAGTTTGGTGCGAGTATAAACGGTGTCGGCTCCAAAATGAATGCAGGCGTGAAAACTGTGAATAGCGAGCACGTTATTCTCGAGTGTCCAGTGTTGCAATGCCGCACGGTCCCATCGAGCAGACGACAACTGACCATGCTGACGACTGGGCTGGCCTAGGTTATCGTGAATAGAGCAGCATTGGAACTAGAACGCTGTGGGAAAACGAATGGGCGACTGAAGTTGTGGTGGTGCTAACAAAAAAAAAGCAGTACCTTAATGCGGTCACCATGCGCAGTCAAGGTGCTTTTAAATCTGGATGTCTACGACACTGTTTACCCATTTTAAAGTGACGCAACTATCATCATCATCATTATGGGCCTGCAGTAAGTCAAGTTGAGTCATTGGTCGAGTCAACATTCCAATACAACACTTCTCGCCATAGAGGAAGCTTCTCGCAGAAGCCCTCAAAGAATCGTAAGCATGCCAGGTGAGTGTCTTCTGTTAAATTTTCATATTGAAGTTGTAAGCCGCAAAGGTAAATAAATAAAAAAAGAGAGGACAGTTGATTTTCAGCCTCGCGCTGTATATCTTTACTGCTTATTCATGTATGTATGTACAAACCAACTGACTAGCCTAACAACGTGTTCTGGTGGTGGGTGTTCTTTGGTCTAGCCACCATTCTACTGTGCTCTGTGCTGTTCAAGATGGCTGAGAGCGCGGATCGCAAATTTCGGCGTGAAATTAATCGGCGCGTCAATGCTAGTTTTCAGCTTATTGACAGTGAGGCCGATGTCATAAATGACACGCGGTACGTTGACCGAGATTCCCGCAACGCCGAAAGAGAGAGCGACTTGCCCTCCGAGGCTTGTGCGGTCGACCTCGAAGACGGCCATCGTCGCCTTTGTGTTCATGACAGAGAACGGCCTTCGGCACACTCCTCGATCGTTCCAGAAACGGATGTGCCCCAAGGACACGTTTTGATTTCTGGCGACGCGTGCTACCCCAGCGGCTGCAGTGTTTCTGTGCCTCACGATCACACAGACTTCGAACGGCGTGCCTTCCATGACAGCAGCGCTGCGGCTTCGACTTCGGCGACCTCGCAGGTGAGGCAGAGGGATTCTTTCGAATTGGCACCGACTGGGAGTAACGAAGAGCAAGTTTGTGAACGCGGCAGTGTGGACAGCTTGCTGGCCTTTCGTGAGAGACTGCAAGCGTGGGCCTTACAATCTCGCGCATCGCACACTTCAGTTACATCGCTCTTGAGAGTACTACAGTCCCACGAATGCTTCAGCGCGCTCCCTTCAACTGCAAGGGCATTGTTACAGACGCCCAAGAAGTGCCTGGAAGTGTTGCAGCTGGCCGGCGGGAAATACCATCATTTCGGCCTCAGTGCAGGCCTACAGCGAGTGCTGCAAGATTGTGCAGAACTACCAAGAATTTTGAAGCTTAGCTTCAACATTGACGGTCTGCCGGTTTCAAAAAGTTCACGGGGCCAATTTTGGTGCATACTGGGACGCATAAGTAATTTGGAGGACAAAGCACCATTTATAGTGGGTGTTTTTTTCGGAAGCAGCAAGCCCAACAACGCGAATGATTTTTTGCGACCATTTGTTTGTGACATAAATGCTGCTATCACAACAGGGATTACCATTGGAGAAACTGCAATTCCTGTTAGCTTGTATGCCCTCATATGTGATGCACCAGCAAAGGCATTTGTATTATATGTCAGAAGCCACACAGGCTATTACAGCTGCACCAAATGTGACGTAAAAGGTGTCTACTGTGAGGGCAGGGTGTGCTTCCCAAACGTCAATGCTCGCAAGCGAACAGATGACAGCTTTCGCTTAAAAGTCCAGGAGGAGCATCACACAGGCGAAAGTATTCTTGAGGAACTTCCTTTTGACCTAGTGAAAGATATACCATTAGATTACATGCACCTTGTGTGCTTGGGTGTCATGAACAAGCTCTTGACACTGTGGGTACGTGCTCCAGAAGCAGCGCTTAAGAACTTCTCGCACTCACCATGAGGGTGAGTTTTATTATCTGTGCTGTTGAAGCTATCATAACATATGATACTTTTGCTGTTATAGTTTAAATAATTTTCTTGCCTTACTCGAATTTTGATGTGTATGCAAGCATGAACTATATAAATCATTTTCACCATTATATAATGGCTAGTTCGTACCTGCACATTATGGTAATATAATTTTCATTTTATGCTTTCAAATCTGGCATGCTGTTATTGTCTTAATATTCTTATTGATACTCTAAATTCACTTGTGCTTCAAGATATGCTGCTTTCTATTACTACAGAATGTCTTCAAAGTGTCGCGTTGTCAAGCCCATCGGATGAAGACCTCTGAAGGCACAGGGCAAGAAGTCTCATCTAGTGAAAACTGCCAAGTTTCATTCCTGAAAATAAACATGTTTTCTGTGCATTGCTGTTTTTATTGCTATACTTGAAGAAATTGTTACTGAAACCTCACAGGCAGTGCTTTAAAGAGTGTGCATGTTCAGGCACTTTTGATTGATCAGTTGTCATTTCAGCGCTCCAAAAGAAGAATTAGAGCAACTTTTCGTAAGGTCTGATGAGTGCCTAGGTCTTGTATGCTTCGTCCTCAAAAAGTACTAGACTCATCATAATGTGCTCTTTTCTGGATGCCCTGAGGACGATCTGAGGCCGGACAAACGGACTGGTTTAGGACCACTTGAGGTTCATTTGAGGGCTTCCTCAGGTCATACTTTCGTACGGTGTAGGTCATCCTCAGGACAACCTCAGGTTGTCGGAGCGTTGTCTGGGAATGGGGCCTTTTAAAATGCATTGATGATTCTCGGAATTTCTTCGACCAGATAATGGAGCAGAACGTATCATCAGAGGAACGATTGCAAGTTTTCCAAGCATTGTTTTTCCTGTGTATCCAGGAGCTTCACAAACGAGTACGTGAAAAAGTAAAAGACACCCCCTCCCCCCTCCCCTAATAAAAAGAGTTTGCACACACGCTGCACTGTTGTTCGCCAAGGGATTATGGTTGCGTGCGGGTGAAACTTATACTTTCCTTGCATCTCCTAACTGGTCACTTCTGCTGTGAGGCAACTGTGTAAACATATATTGCTAATCGATATCCTTCAGTACAAATTTTTTTTCACATCGACAGAACACAGGTCACTTGCGACGCCGTAGTTGTCCGCCGCCGCCCCTAACCAGTATAGAACAAAAAAAAAAAAAAAAACTCGGTAAATAAAGAACATCAATAACACAATGGAATTCCAACCCAGGTCCTCTCCGTGCCTGTCCAGTATTCTATCACTGAGCCACGCCAGTGCTTGTAACTGTTTCTAAACTGGCCATAGGCAGACTTGATGTCGGGAAAGGAATAGGAAAGTGTTTTATAACATCGAAGAAACAGCCAGGTGTCACACAATACGAAATTGCTCAACGACTGGGTCGTCTAATGCTCCAACTCATTGGAAAAGTTGTTCTTTACCACCCTTTAACTGTGCCGCATGCCCACTTCACGCATATTTCTTCATCGTCTTCAGCCACTGCTTAAAAAAATCTGCACAAACTTTCCAACAAGTGTGTAGCGGATACCGCGTACGCTTCTCCAAAGAACGACGAAAGATAGCATAGTGAATGCTGGCCTACTACACAAAGTGCATCAATATTTAAGGCGCTGTGGGTACACAGCAGTGTACTTGTAGCATCCCAAAGAATGTTTAGAAAATGCTCTGAAAGACCGCTTTTCTAGCTTTAGGTGCGACTGTGCTGCGCGTTCCGTGCATGCCTGGCTTTTTTTTTTTTTTAACACGCCTAAAACGCTAAGTGTCAAAGAAAAATTAAAGCATATATGCATTAGAGTCACTCCCGCGTTACCTCGCTGCCTAAGAATAATAAACCGGTGCTTTAGTAGCTATAACGAAACGCACGGCTGCCAGCGACCACAGCATTACGGCGCTACAAGGCAGCCGCCACCGCTTTCTGCCCTGAGCATTATGGCCGCCGCGGCTTCACTTCGATACATTGGCGGCTATGCGGGACCGCCACTCCAGAAGTTTTAGTATAACCTCCTTGGTTGGACCACGCTAAGGTGACGCTATCTGGCGGCTGTCAATACCAACTGCGGCAGCCATGGCTCTTGCCTGAACACACTACCCCATATTCTAGTACACTGTACCATAATAAAGGAGGCGTGGAAGGTGTTCTGTAGAGGCGTTGGTGTGGCATCTGTGTATGAGACAACGTTACTGGATGGAGCCAGTTGGGAAACTGCATGGGCTCGCCACGGAAGCGGCGTGGCCGCTCACAGTCTCCCAAAACGCGGGGGCGCTGCGATCGCTTTGCGACCTGGTCATGTGACGAGCTTCGTGCGTCGTCTGCTCGTCGTCTGTTCCGCGCCCCGTCTCCGAAGGACGGCGCAGCGTTTTTGGAGCACTTCATATCTCAAGGAATCTTGTTAGCGGATGCATATTGAGAGCTTCCTGCTACAACCACTGCATAGATGAAGGTGGACACAGCTTGGAGCTCTGAACGAAGTCTGAGTGGTTCTTTTTGCCACGTGCTGATGGTGCTGACTGCATTCCGCAGGTGTTTCGATGTGATGAGCTTGTGCTTGCCTAATGAATAGGTGCCTCCGAGAGCATAAACTGAAATTTCCTGAAAATTTTTTTGAGATCGCATTGCTCGTGCAGTCCTTACATTGAGCGTTTTCTATAAAAGCATGCTCTTATTTGAAAGCGACAGTAAGCGTTCTAAATGAAACAGTCGCGAGTTCTGAAAACTTGCGCATGTTTTTATTGTATACAATGCCGCTGCATTTACGCTGCGGTGCGTTATCTGTGTGGCTTGTCAGGGAGAATAATACGATGATGTATATCTTACGAGACAACTCACTTTTTTTTTTTGGTTCCCAGCACAGCAATCTTTTGCAGAAGAAACACGTAGTTACAAACAAATTTTAACAGAATGGTTCGTAACAGTCGGCTTGTATTTTTTAAATGCATACCGTTTGTAAGTAGATACAGTTTTTAAATTGTGCAAATTCAACTATTTTATTAAGTGTACTTAAGTAAAGTGTGGGATTGGGCTAGTTGGTAATCCATATAAAACTTCTAGGCGCGTAAAACTTCAGACAACTAACACAAGAGACGAGGACGAGCGCAGACTTTCAACTGATTTATTACTACTACGACACACATATATGTTAGAAAGAAGATAAGATCACTTGCTTAAAAAAAAAAAAAAAAAAAAAAAAAAAAAAAAAAAAAATCAAAAGGCGAAAAAAAAGTTTTACGCGCCTAGAAGTTTTATTAAGTGTAAAGATTGTTTTTCCGATTGACAATTAAATGTATCGAATGTGCATGACTAGGAACACGGAATGCCAATCGAGTGGATATGAATTAAGGAGCTTGGAGAAGCTCCTTCATCTCTTCGTCACCTCTTCATGAAGGGAGGAATGCAATCGAATTAAAAAGAACAGCGTCATTTTAGTTTGACACTCGAATACCCAAATTTCGAACCAATGACATGCGTCGCCGGTAAGCTGGCTGTGTTCTACGTGGGACTCCTGCTAGGTTATTTAATGCTGTTCCGATGTTCCCGTGTCCTCATTACAGCCCTTAATTCACTGAGATCTGTGCATGTTGCTGTGCAATAACTGTAAGAAAAGCCACCAAACACATTTGTTCAAGTTCCTGTTTTTTTTTTTACTTGGCAACATTTCTATGTTAAATCACTGCGTAGTTTATTGGTGCGTAGTCTAGAGAAGTTTGGCTTTCTTTTTGTAGAAGACACCCTGCCAGAAGCACTCAGCTTCTTACAAACATCTCTCGTAAAAAAGTGCATTCTCAAAACAACGTATGAGTGTACAATCTCCGATGTCAGGATGTCCTTATGAACTGAACAACCAACGCTTGGAACATCGCAGTCTTTGATGACATCCAGCGCATCCCAAAACATGTCGGCGCACAGATGGTTTTCTCCTAGCACGAGAGACAGTTTTTCTTCGACGCGTTTCAACATTGTGTAAAGTTCTGTAGAGGGATGCTTGAGGCTTCCGTTCCTGAATTCTCTTGCCAATGTCAGTAGTGAAGCGGGGAATTTAGTGTTTGTTGACTGGATGCTGCTTATGCAAGCAGCGCAGTTGACGTGCTTCAGAAAAGAATGTACAATGTAGCCGCAGAGGTAATATACGACGCACTCCTGTACTGCTGGCAAAGCATATCCGTGGTCCGGAAGCGGTGTCGGTCCCGAGTGGGATGCTGAACTTATTCCAGGCAAGCAAACCTCGGAAATCTTTGCGCTGATTGTCTCACGCAACTTTTCATACGTTGCCAGCTGCTGCTTCTTCCCTTGCTTCATCGTCTCTTGCACTGTGGCTAGTATTAAGGTTGGCTCCTCTTGGACATTGCCTGCAATCGAAGCCTTGACAGGTGTGTACAGGCTCAGCAACCTGTAGATATGGGAAAAGCTCAGGATCGTCGGATGGTCTTCGTCACCTCCAAAGCTCCTGGTGATTCCGAAGAACCTCTGTAATGGTAGTAATAAAGCCGTACGTCAGTTCACCGTATGTATCTCTTTCAGAAGTCAAAGTACGCATGGCGTATGGAATGCATAAAGAGGATTTATAGAGTGCAAGTCTCAGGCGGGAATTGCACATCTCACATAGAGATATGACGACTGTTTAAAACCACGCTATGCTTCCTCATAACCGTTTTGTTTATTTTCCATGCAATGAAGTAAGTGCGCAGTTTTATGGAATTATGCTAATCTCACCTCCAAGGGGTCTTGATTAAGCTTGCCTGTGAGCACGTAGCGTGCACCTTTAGCAAGGAGGTCATTTGTTAGTTCCAAGATAGATGACAAAGTCACCCTTAGAGACTCCATTGTTACTTGAGATGCGAACATGGCTGTTCCTTTCTCAACGTGGTTTCTCTCTGTCAAGTCCAAGATAATCATGAAATCTTGGATGATCTAGAAAAGGGAAAAGTTTATGTTAGACATTACTTTTTTGTGCAAGCTAGCTCTTACATGCAAACGTCGACGCCTATAAAAAAAGGGACCTTTGAAGAAAGGCATAAAGTTATTTTTAACCTGATTTTTTAATGAAACATGTGTGCCACTGAATGAAAATGGAAGCTGGTAATACTTGAAATCACGCTTGCGGCGTGTCGCCTTCTCATCGACGTTTATTTCAGTTATCTGGAAGGAGAAGTTCTAAGTTCCAAGACATTTATTCGTCGTCTTTCTTTCAATAATACCTTCCTTCAATTACAAAATAAATGTCTACTTAAACTAGGCTTTTGTTGGTGTAAATGTTTGTCGGCGTTTTGTATTTTATTTATATGCCCAGTGCCTCAGTTCTTGATTAACATTACCTATTGCGAATGTTCTTCAAAAGTAGCACATTTTATCGCCCTTGCCTTAATTTCCTTGGATGTGCTCCTTATCCCAAAACGAGGAAGCTTGATGTTCAGGGCATCAAAAAGGTCATTTATGATGCGGGTAAACGCGGCTGTCCCCTCGCAGTCTTCCAGGCCATCTTGCTTGAGTCTCCGGTACACATCAAGGCCGATAGCCGTACTTCGGCTGAGCAGCTAGGGGACAGAAAACGTATAGGGGCATTTTATTAATCGCAAAAAGACTTAAGGAGAACACTTCACAGTACCAGTTAAGTTTGTGTTTCACATGTGAAGAATTTGCCTAAATAATCAGGTAAGCTATAAGTTCTTTCAAAAGCAGCTTTTCGTAATCTTACCTGTACTGCGAGCTTCACACTCATTTTTCTCATGTTGTCAGGGCAGACGTGTTCAGCGGTAAGCTTCGGAACAATGCGGAGTTGCTCTTTGCCGTCTACTTCTTGCAAAACTCGGTAGTGGTCATAGTTTATGCGATGTTCACCAATCTATGAGCAAGAAGAAGAGAGGGAAAAAAAAAGTCCGTCAGTCGTATGTAGTGCTGCGAAGAAAATGTATTTTGATTGGCACCGCGACACTATTTATTGCGATATTGTACTGTACGTGGTACTTACCATGCCATATTTGTGTCGAAGAAGATGGTTTCTAATGCATTTGACAATGTGGGGTACATCGCAAAGGAAGTAGAGGCTTTGATTTGGCTCGCATGGGTGCTGAACTTTGTGGTTTGCTGTGTGAAGCTTTCCTGATATGCCAAAGTTGGACCACATTGCTTTGTTCGTGCTGGCGCCATCACTGATTACTGCGACGACTATGGCGTTGTGTTTGCGTAGCTGCACGATTGCATCAAGAACTATTTTGGCGAGCACGTGTCCGGGGGCTGCGTTTTTTGTTGCAAAACTTGCAATCGGTTGAACCCATGAGTGGAATAGAGGCACAAACATTGCAACCAATGCATGATCAGCAGTAGCTGCTGAAACTTCACCGTCTCCGTAATTTACGAACCCATCAATCTTGTATGTTTGACGGTTGAAAGCTACGGCTTGGCGTACCTTCATTTCATCTATTACTAGTGTGCCGTAACACTGGACTCCTTTCATAGTCTTCATGAAAGCCCCTATGCTGGAAAGGGAGAGCTTATTAAAGCCAAACTCACAAGGCATTCCTCTTATTATTTGTCGGAGCCTAGTCGAAGTTGGAAGAGGGAGGATTTTCATTCTTGACATCAAGCGGTACACACGTGGGCTTGAAATCTTCAAGAGAAGGCAACTCAGCAGCCACCCACAGTCATACCGCACACCTCTTGAAGATTTCGCTTTCATCGACTGCAGTGCTGTCCGAAATGCAAGTTGCTGCAGTGGTGGAAGTTCAGCTAAAACCTCGCTCAACAGTGCATTGCTTGGATCTGATGACAACTTTTTTTTCAAGCTTAGCAGGTCCCTCTTGTATTTCTCCCGCAGCACTGTTGCTCTTATAGTCTTCTTTCTTAAATTTCTCAACAGCGCAGATGGCAAAGGCACGTACTTGCTCTTTCTTGAACGTCGTTTCTGCCTGCACTGCAAGTTCTTTTTTGCTTTCCTGCACTGAACGCATAAGGCTTTCGCCGACAGCACTGCACATCGCTTGCTTCTCCATGTTCTCCCAGACCTTTCAGCCGTCTTAGAAGTTGATATTAAAGGACATAAACGAGAATCAAAACCATTGCAGATACCCAGGCTCTCAATGAGATGAAGAAAGGGCGCTGCGTCTTTCAAGGTGGTAAAATTGAGCTTGTCACTGTTAATAAAGGTGTAAGACGATTCCGGCACAAGTTTCCCTTTAGCGCTGACAACAACGGTCGAGTTTTTGTTTATAACGACAGCTCTTTCAATAAAAACTACGCCACCAATTTCTTGAAGTTTGTAAAAAACAACACGCTCATCCGTGTGTTGCACACACCATGCTCCATACACGGGCAAGTCTTCTATGCCACCAAACCAATGTTCACCTGTGGAGCTTTCTTTCATGATGACTTCCATGCTTTCAGCATTTGAGGCAGCCCTGTTTTCGTGTTCAAGCATTTCAGTGCACGTCTCACTTTCACTCTGAAGAACTGGGGTAATGTCATCTTCGGCCACTAGCACGCTTGCTGCATTTGTGCCAACATTTTCTACACAAAGCTTCAAATCAAGCTCAGCGCAATTAGCAAAATGCCGCGGTACCGCACCTTTCTTCAGTTCCCAGCGTCCTCGCGGAATCGAGACTGTTTCGCCATTCACAACATGCTGGAAGGAGGTGCAAATGTCCGCTTCATCAAAGTGACGATCACATATGTATGATCTTTGAGTAACTTCGAAGTTTGCACGGCCTGCCGCATTGTTCCACTCCCTCAGCACATTGGGGTCTTTCGGTGGCTTGAAAAAGTGTCGCTGCACGAAGGGCACTTCATTTGACGTTGCCGATGAATATCCACTTCGACAGCCTGGCACAGCACACCTCGGCATGCCGACCGTTCTCCCGAAGGGAGCAAAATTCAACCGCGAACAATTGCTTGCTCAGAGTCACCGTCCGCTTTCTCTCCAGAAAGCAGAACAGCGTAAACATTATCGTCTGCTCTGTCATGGTTGAAATTTAATGCATAAGGTCTGTTACGAAACAACGAGCCAGCCTTTTTTTTATATTTAGGTTACTTAACGTTACTTAATTTAGGTTACTTAACCATTATTACCAGCAGGGAAAAAATCGTCTGCAAGCGCAGGCCCTGCTAGCCGCGTCGCTGCTCCGTCTGCTCCGCGCGATGCCGGCTGCGCGGCGGAGAGGTCACGTGACGTGGTCGCAAAGCGATGCCAGCGACACCTGGAATGGGCGACGATTTGCGGCCGCCTCCTCGCGCGAGTTTTCCAACTGTCCTCATCCAGTAACGTTGGTATGAGAGCAGTCGAAACTCAACACGATGTGCGTCACAGCCTTGTGTGCGCACGTGACCAAGCAACCTATGCGTCGAAGTCACTGCCCAATTCGGCACCGCGAAACCAAAACCGAAAATGAACTGAATAAGTGAAGCAATATTAAATTATTTAGCAAATTACACAATTCTAGGTGTTTTTATTATGCTTTTTAAAGCAGACTAAAACGTTTACAGCAAATACACGCATGCCAAAAATTTGGTGGCACCACACAGGCCAAACACTGCACGAGCATGTCAGTTACGTAGATGTTCTGTGGTCACGTTAGAAAGCACTAGTCACGTCGTCGTCCTTTTTCACACTCGCTACAAAAGGCTCGTGCATTTCAAAGACAACGAAGGCGTTGCTCTCTACTCTAACAAACACATAAAAATGCCAATAGACTGTTCGCTAGCTAACGCAATCCAATCCGATAATCGTTTGACGATCGCAGCGCCAGCAAGTTGTTGTATGAACGGCACCTTTGCACCAACGTCGCAGTCGACTGGTCGTCGATCGGCGTTTACTCAAATATTGATTATTCGAATGATTGGCTCCAGGAACGTGGGTAGACATTTTAATGAATTGAAAACCATGCTACTTTATTTGTATGACGTATCTGGCTGCTAGGCCATGTGGGGCTAGGCAACAAGCCATCATGGACAAAGAGGTGGATCCGTCGTGTGCCCCGGTATATTACACTGCGAGCCAGGTACTTCCCTCCAATTCATTTCGAGATTTAAGTCGATTCGTGCCTCATTTGTTTCAATGCCCCCGCCTGAGCCGTTGACTACGCGCTGTTAAAGAGTTGCGCTGAAGTGTTTCTCTGTAATACTTGTGCATTTTCAAAACCGACCCATGACAGTGGCGTAGCGCTGCGAAGCATGTTGTCGTGTGTTCGCATGCACGTCGATGTTGGCGATACTCGGGGAAAGAAAACATTGGTGGCGGTACCACAGCGTATCCCCAAATCACTTGCCTGCCATGGATTGGTCTGACGGTGTGTTCATACTGGTGTGTTCGACAGCGCTGTGATGAATACGAAATTGAAGACAGGACATGTATCCAAAGCTACTCCCCCACCGAGCCGTAATTGTACCATTCTATGCGTAGGGCCCATGTGGTGGAGGAAGAGCATCGGCCGCCGATGGCGGAGGAGGAGACGCTGGTTGCCGGCAGTCGCCGCCTCGGGTGCCCGAAGAAGACTACTCGTCATTTGACATTGTCAAGGCTACGCAGTGCGACACGTTTTATTATTACGACTATGTTTCTTTCAACAGTACTTAGCGAGCAAGAGGGGCATTTCCAATCTGACAGCAGAAGAGAATATTGTAGCTCATGTTAAACATCTGTGGTCACTGCAAAATACCGTTGTATGAGCATTTTAGAACGATATCGCAAATACAAAAGCTTGCCCTCTGTTGTCTATGTAGTTTGGTAAAATTAATCCTGCCGTGTGCGTTCAGTCCTTACGGTGTCATTGTGAGTGGCTGGCAGCATACTCAAGCTAACAGTTCGTCTATTCGCAACTTTCAGGTACCTTGGCGCTGGTGTGCGGTGGCGGCTGGAAGCTCTGTGGAGATGATCGAAGTTTTTGACCCGCATTTGTGGTCGTTTTGCAGTGTTGTGAACAGCCTCGATATTACCGGAACTCCTTAAGTTTCAGAAGTTAAAGGGAAAGTAGAACGAAAAAAATATTCTACTGATATTCGTCGACAAAAGCCGACTGACTGCGAGCCTCGATGCCCACAGCCTATATATAAACCGTGAGGAAAAAGTTAGCCTTCCGTTCAAATTAGCACCCCAAAAAGCCATGAGTGGTTAAGAGGGTTAAAATTAACAGGGTAATAACCATAATAACCAAAGCCCGCAAATGTATGCAGCACTAATTTTGTGTATGAGTACTGCAGCTTCCAGGTTTGCTGTTTTCACACTTAGATCGTCTGCTCGACACGGTCTCTGTGCAAACAATACCAGAAATAATTTAGGAATGTGTTCCGCCTCTAAAATAGAATGAAAGCACCGGTTTTAAAACGTTCATCCCATAATTACACATCTGGGGTGTCTGCGAAGTGCCTCCATGACCCTCAGATGTGCAGCAATTTGTGTTCAATCTCATCTGCTGAAGGCGCTTTTTTTTTTGTTGTTTCTGCCCCGTACCATGTTATATTTTGTACTTCTCAAACACCGACACATAGAATAGTAAGTGGAACGTCCCCTCTTAAACGTGAAAATTGTACATTACCACTGGTTTTCTTTGTGCTTCTTGCCAAATTCATTCTCTTGATATTTTGTTTTAGTTATTTCAGTCAAGAAAGCACCCAAAAATCATACTATCGGTAATATGACTTGGTACTTGTGCTTCGTCATTGAAAAACAGCTTGTTTTTGTCGGCTTACTATGCTTGGTGCTTTATGTGAGCTAAACATGCTTTGCCCAGAATACAATGCAAGGAAAACTGTAAGAGGTCTCCAAAAATGTTTCTGACATTACTGAGAAACTTTTACTGAGACTGCATTATAATACTTTTCCAACATGACACCAGGTGTTCCGCGTGATTACGCACAACGCCTGGTGAAGAGCGTGCGTGTGTGCCTCCGTGCATCTCCGAAAATGTTTCTGACATTACCGAGAAACTTGTACTGAGACTGCATTATAATATTTTCCCAACATGACACCAGCGTTCCGCGTGATTACGCACAACGCCTCGTGAAAAGCGTACGTGTGTGCCTCATTTACAACTTCATGCATAATTATCTACTCGACGTGCTACCGAACATTTATTTACTTAATATATTATGTTAGTGCTCCCCTACTTTCTCAAAAGCATAAATCAAAGGGCCTCCAAAGCGAGAAAAATTGCAGTTTTTGCCAAAAGTGTACTTTCCGGTACCATCTCTTTCGGGGCAGTCATCTCAACAACAGCCATGTTGGATGTACAGTCACGGCACCTATAGGTCGTAAAAGTTGCGAATAGATGTCAGACTGTGGAGCTTGCAGACATGCAGCGCCACCTGTCGACGCAGTTTTGAGTAGTGCAAAGCCCGACACTCTTGCACAGTTTGCTGTGCAACCAGGTGCAACTAGTGGGTACAAAACAACAATTCAGCTAAATATTAGGTGCGTTTGCGCATTGAACACTTACAGCTACGAATTTCTCTTCGCTAGTGGGCTGCGTCACCGAACTACCGTCAAGTGCTTGCTGGTTCACTTGCGAGAATGACGGCGGAAACAAGAACAAACGCAACAGCTCCGCGCTCTACAAAAAAGAGCCCAGTTGATGTTACTGTTGTGTTGTGAATTGCAAGAACGCAAAGGACTTCAGTTTTGCTGATTTCCGCAGCTTTCGTAAAGCAGAACGGCGAGAACACTAGATACGGGTCGTCGTGAATGAGTTGGGTAAGCGAATTACTCACGTTATCCACAGCCGGTCGCATGAGAAAGTGTGATAATATAGATGATATGATAATGCGCCCGATCGTTACCACGGACAACTATAGTAACTTTGATTATGAAGCTTAATTCAGAGCATCTGACAGTAGTGCGTGCCGTGCAAGAGTAGACAAATGACGCACACGAATAACATTGCACACGCCGCGACCACCGGTAATCGGAAGTGGTCGCCACCACACAGCATTATGCATGTAGGGCTTTGAAGGCTATAAGTTCCGGCTTTAACTAGCAAATGGGAACACGTATGTCACACAGGTAAATGGGAAAATGACCGCGACTGAAGTCGGGTTTTTCTTACCGTTGGTTTCCGTGATCGCTGGAGCTATCTTGGGGGCCTGGGTTTTGCCTTTCTTTGTTTACAGAGAATGTGGACACGCATGTTTCCTTACTTGCAGCATATAGAAACTGAAGACAACCTTCAACTTAACATTCTAGCAACAGTTCAGCGCACAGGAAGCGAGAGATTGATAGAGAATGTAACTGCAAAGACGGAAATCCGCAGCGCTATTTGTGCCGGTATAAAGCAAGCTTCGTACCACTGATTTTCGAATAGATTGCTTGTGTATGTACTTCAGCGCTTTGGCATCATGTGTATGCTCAAGTCTACGCATTTAGGCATTAAAGAATGCACGTCGGAGTGCTTGCCTCGAACTCGTCATGCCATGCTTGCTTACACTTAAATTGCAGTACACCGAAATAACTGAAACATCTCTTATGCTGTACCCGCAGTTTGCTTTGATGAGCTTCCTACTTTTTTAAAGTGATGAAGCGTGGAAGCTTGGGCAAGTTGGTAGGACATAACTGAATGCAGGAACAGCGCAACCTAGAAGTAGTTACTTCGTAATTACGGAAGCGAAAAAAACAAGGACAGAAAAGAGCGCTGACTTTCAACAAAGATTTAATGCCGGAGTGGTGTACATATATAGGCGAAAAATGAGAAAAACGGGCATGCGTAGAAGGGTGCAGGAACAACTACTGCGATACAACGTCAGCAAAACTCGTCTCTTGTTGAATGTGCTGAAAAAACAAATACATGTGTAACTTTAAAAAGATCGAGATACGCAATCTCCTTTTGCAACAACGCAACCGATGGGCAACTTACACATTTACTGTCAAACTTGTTTATTTTATAAGCTTCAATTATCTCACGTGTGGCCTGCGAGTTGTGCTTGCTTAATACCTCGCAACACTCAAAAGCTGGCACGCAGCCGCAGTCTCGGCAGTGGATTCCGAGGTGTCTTTGAACTACATTGTGTACATTGTTATTGTGCTCTCTTAAACGGTCATTCAGGCACCTTCCGGTTTGCCCTATGTATACCATTCCGCACGAAAGCGGAATGAGATATGCGACACCAATAACACAAGGTACAAAGCGCGGTCTGTGTTTCACAGTGCATCTTCCTTTAATAGCAGCTGGATTATTCACCAGCTTGCAAAGCTTTGTAAGCTTTTCTGGGGCGGAAAAAATAACAGTGACACCAGCGCGTTTACCGATTTTTTTCAGCCGATGTGACACGTTATGCAGATACAGAACTGCAACATATTTCATAGGAACAGACGCGCTTTGAGGCTGAGATCGCCCTCCTCGATTTTTAATTTGCTTCAGAAGTTTTTCCGCAACAGCTGAAATCAGGGGGCTCGAGTAAACGGCGCTCAAGAGGCGCTCTACCTGTGCTTTGAAACTGCTTCTCATTTTTCGCCTATATATGTACACCACTCCGGCATTAAATCTTTGTTGAAAGTCAGCGCTCTTTTCTGTTCTTGTTTTTTTCCCTTCCGTAGATACGAAGTAACTACTTCTAGGTTGCGCTGTTCCTGCATTAAGTTTATAAAGTGAGTTTGGATTGACAAAAGAAGCTTGCTAGGTCCTTGGTTTTCAAGAAACCGCGCTTCAAAACGGACAAAGCAGCAGGGCCTATGCATGTTCACTTGCAAACGGCTCTCTTTGCACTACCCATTTATAGCTGGCGCGTTGATGGGGGTGCGGGTGGCGGCGTTTTTCACAGCGCTGCCTGGGCAGAGTCTGACGTCAATAGCTTAACATATGTGCCACTCAGTGGTTGCAGTGCATAGCTACTTAGCCCGGCTTTGATTATGTCCGCAGTGGCCCCATTTTGGTGGAGGCAAAATGGTCAAGGTCCGTCAAATGTCAAAGAATATTAAGGTATGCTGCCACACTTGAAAATGATGTTTGTTCTTGCAAAAAAAAAAAAAAAAAAAGCCAACTTCACTTTTTAGTATTTGAAGAATTTATAGGCATTCAGGATCGTGCTGCAGGAAAAACAATGTCTCCATGTGGTTTTGTTCAATAGTTGTGATGGTTTTTACAACTACCGGTAGACCTCCCTGAAAACAAAACTGACATTTTGTGGGAATAAAACCTTCATTTTCATAATTAAAACAAACATGTTCGCACTAAAGTTTGCGGGTGACATTTATGTTATTTAATAGGGAAGCATGCTTAATAAGATTGAGCCATGGCAATCATGGACAATTTTTGTTCCAAGCTTTGCTAATTGTCATGTGGGGGCACATGAAGTGACAGCGTGTTTACACTGCTGTTGTACAAAGCGATTTTTTCATTGCTTCAGTGTTTCATATTGTTGTCTTGCAGAATATAACAACATATGGTCAAGGGATTTTAAGTGAAACAGAGGCCGAAAGGCAAAGTGTGAAAAGTTTGTGTGCCTCTAATCCAGTGAAAGCACAAGCACGGGGGAGGTTTTTACGCTGATCAAAGCGAAGCATGTGTATGCAGAGTTCTGTGTTAGGGAAAATGTGGCTC